AATGAGTCTCCAAGGGAATTTTGTCAAGTTGTAGCAGGTTTAGCAGCGGTGCAGCTATAATAAACTGTACAACCCTAGAGTGGCTCTGAATCCACTTCGCCCTGGCAATAAAGAAAGTTAAAGTGAACAAAATGAAAACTGTGTTTGCCTTCCGTACACTAGAGCTAAAGAAGTGCCTGATCTTCCGAGTGTTGGCAAACTCAGGCAACTGGAGTACGCATTTTTTGAATGTGATACTAAAACTCTGCTAGCTGCTCAGTGTGGGCTCTGCGTGACCTTTTCAGTTGTGGTTGTTCATGTATGTATTCTTAACTTCTAGAAGCAACGCTGGCTCCATCTCAAAATGTAACAGATGGGTCGTCGATCCTAGAAGCTCAGTGTTGAGGTCAATACTTCAGGCATCACAATGAATTTTGTATGTTGAAGCCCCAAAGCCACACACCTAACACAAAAACAACCCCCTCAAAACTATTTGTGTTGCCAGTCTCTAGGATCCTATGATTGTCAGTTGTGTCTTCTGTATTTTGCTATGCATTTAAGACGAAGAAATCCCAATGAAGAATAGATCTGTTTCCCTTTTCCCTCTACATGGAAAGGTGTGGAGAAGAAAGTAGAGGGAATGGGAGACTCCAGCCTGAAGCTTTAAAACTACAAACACTTGGGAATCTGTTTGCTCAAGTTTCTTTTAAGTTGGAAAATCAGAGTGCCTCTTTTTTCCTATGAAACAGCCCTCTAATTTAAGAGAAAGTTGCCCTCTATGTAGACCAAACAAACTTAGACAGTGGTGTATTTAAATGTTTTCCCTATTTGCATGAGAAGAATAGCCTGACATTTCTATGGGTACTTTAGAAGCTATTGTATCTGTAGTTAACATGGTCACAATGCCCGGGGTTGAATATTTTAGAGGTCTTGCTTCATGTATGGATTCCTTGAATGATTTGTTATTTTGGGGCTTCTTGCTTTTGGTTGGTTTGTTTGTTTGTTTGTTTGTTTAAAACTTTGCTTTGGTTTCTCAGAAGCTTCCTGTTCCGCTTTTGAGTTTGCTGATTTGGTAACAAAAATAACTAACTCTTGTTGTCACAGTATCTGGAAATAAAACAGAGTGGTATTTACTAAAAAATCAGAATGGAGAAGACCGTGTTACTATGTGTACCTACAGAATGTGTTGGGTTGGCTGCCTGTTCATGATGGACAATTGTGCAAATCTTGCTTTGTCTCCTTTATTTGGTGCGTGCTTGACAGAGTATTAACATCTGCACTGCTCTTTTTTGCTGGCTGATAGATGAGTCTCTCTCAGTTCCACATCCCTCCCAGACAAGGGGAAAAAAATCAGAGCGCATCACATTTCAGTTTCTCTGGGAAGTTTAGTCCAAGGTACAAGTTTCTGGGTTCCCCCCCCTTCATACAGTGCTTGAATTTGAAAGAGAAATGTGTAAATAGTAGCCAAACCGCATCTCTGATTTCAGAGGGGTAGCTGTGTTAGTAACAATGTTAAAAACAATTGGTCCCTAAGCTCCTTGAAGACTCATCAAAATATATAGAATCATGAGCTTCTGTGGGCAAAACCCACTTCACCAGATGAATTAAGAGTGGCTTTTGCCCACAAAAACTCATGATTCTATATATTTTGGTGAGTCTTCAAGATGCCACAGGACCACTTGGGTTTTTTCTGTGACTTCAGTATATGCTGGGTGACAACATCCAATTGAAGGCCCTTTCATTTCCCTGTACCTGAGGGTGTTTGTTCCTTTCTGCTATGAGATTATCCTCTTCCCTGACTCAGTGCTGGTTTTGTGGGAGAGGTCCTAGTGACATTAAAGCTAGAACCCATTAGAAAGGCTCTTTCATCATCTTTTTGTTTTTAATCAGTAGCTTTTGCTGACCTCATAACCCTTTAACTTGCTTTGTAGCAGAACAACAACTCGCCTCCTTGAGACTAACTTCAGAAAATGCCCGAGTATTAATGAACTGGGACTATATAGAATGGAGATGCTCTGCTGAGGCTTTTCTTGTTCAGAACCTCAATTTTTCTCCCCTCAGGTTGTTATTTTGCAAACCAGTCCCAAAAGTTCCCAAAAGTCACACACAGCAGCAAGCCTTTTGTTACTTGTCTTTCTGAAGCAACTGAAGGTTTAAGGAAAGAGATGTTTTGTTTTTCCTCTCTTCCACACAATGGAGCTTTCAGAGAACCTCTTTTAATAGCGACAGCCTTTGTGTTGAAGGGTGTGTCAGTTGGCAAAGTTTGCTGATGCAGACAGACTGGCTGGTGATTAACAAAGGTCATTAGACTTTGGAATCTGGCAAGCAGAGTCAGATGGTATGTCTTCTGTGCATAGAAGGATGAATCCCAAGAGGCTGAGGCATTCTGGAAGCTTCCTTCCCCCCCTCCTCATCCCCCTCCTCCTGTTTAAGAGAACATGCTGTGTGCTGCTTCAGTCTGTAGGACAGTTTGGACAAGTGTCTTGCTTCAGCAGTACTGTTGTGCTGGAACTAATCAACACATTTATCATTCATGGGAGAAAAGAGCCTTCAGAGATCTTTGCAAATGGTCGGTTAGGGAGAAAAGGTGCTGCTTTTGACAGTGCACGGGAACAGTGAATTCTCAGTTGAATGGAGTAAATTGTAAGAAGAAGGCAGGTCCTGTTCTTGTGATGCTGCTTTTTCTAGCATCACCCTCCCCAAAGGGGGAAAAAATATCTGGTGTGCTTGAGATGAAGCTCAGATATGTGAGGCCATGTTGTGCACAGGCTAGGAGCTAGGAGCCTCTGTCTGAGTGCATGAGTTGTCTGAGCTAAAATGGCTGCTCCTACAGCTCAGAGGACTAGGGCAGCTTAGTGAGTCTTAAAGCTTCAGTGACGCAGAAGCTCATATCTCTTGAAAGTGTGATAAACACATTCAGCAGAGCTGTGGCTTGTTTGGCTGAGATGAAAGGACTCAGCTTGGGGGGATGGGCACTTGAAAACTGGATGATCTGCTTTTTCTGTGAAGTGCTCTGAATGCAGGAGTCGTCTGCTCCATGGAAAAATTTTTGTTTTCAGGTCTAATGGACTGTGCTAAAGGAGACTGTGGGGTGGGGCTTTGCTCACTTGCTGTAATTTGATCCAGAGCAGAGATAGCAACCTCTTCCACACAATTTGGTCTGGTACTTGCTTGTAAAAAACTGGAGTATCTTGATTATTATAACTTTGCTAGCTGAAGAGAAGCTAGTGCAGCGTTCCTTTTTTTAAAAGGGGGACTAAAGAGAGAAAAGGACAAAATGCAGTGTGCACAGTATTGTAGGTAAACATCTGAAGTGTCTGTGTTCTCAGTCTGCCCAGAATTTGACTTGCCAGAAGTTTATGTTAGCAGGCTATCAGAAGGAACATTCTTGTATGTAAAATCCTGATGCAATGCCCTCGTTTTATTGCATTGACACATATTATTGGACTTTGATCTTTCTGGAGAAGCAATTTTATATTCTGAAATAAATGAATGGAATTTTCATCATAAAATATTTGGCTGCCGGTCCTTCTGTCGGTCGTGTGGAACTCCTAGGTTAATGTAGCCCAGTGGAGCATGAAGAAAACGTAAAGAAGTAATGCATTCGTTAAGATCAGCTGCTACTGTGCCTAAGAAAGCTATGGAATAGGAGGTCCTCTGCCTTTGACGTTTCCTATGTTTATATATTCTTTCCTCTACAGCAGTCCATACATGTTGTGCCCAGAAACAAATTCTTCTCCGGAATTATGTCTCCCTGGATTAATTGTTCATGTACTGAATCACAGAACTTGACTGTATGAAGATCAGTTTATTATGTCATATATGAACTTGAGGTTGGTGAGGAATCAAGGAAGTCCTGAAGCTTTGGGGAGGGATCTTTTAAATTTGTATTTCCATTGTGCTACGTGATATTTTTATTAAGACATCCCTTTCTCTCAACTTCCGCCACCCCATTAAAAACCTGATCCCAGAGACAGGGTACGACTGTGGGTGTGGTTATGGGAATTGCACCCAAGACTGTAGCTCTCCTCTGTGTATGCTGCATAGCCTCTTCACAATTCCACTAATCTATCGCATGTCAGTGTATATGGATCTCTCCTTGCTGTAGTGTCTCTTTTTCCCCCCATCAAGGTCAAAACTGACTCAATGTTTACACTAATTGACAATGCAGAATTTCCAGTGGAGGCTTTCTGGCCTTTGGCCGTGAAGTAGTCAGGAGTTGCCTACAGGAAGGATAGCGCTGGTTGCAAAGAGGCAGAAGTGTTACTTTCTAATAATAAATGTCATTGGGTGAATGACTGGGAATAATGGAGCTGTACATCTCCCATGTGTTTCCTTCCTCTTTATGAGAGAGAGCCTGTCAATGTAACAATAAGCCCATATATAGAAAAGACCCGAGTAAGGGAAAAGCCAAGAAGGCCAGGTCTACTGAATCAACATCTAGTGGTCAGAAGGCTTGACTGTTTGGTAAGCTATTTAGGTAGGACCTTCTGGCTATCTTAATTTCCTTGATGCCTTCCAACATACTGAGTAAAAGTTGGATTCTTTAATGGAAGCAATTCTGGAGGTCACTAAGGGTTTGTCTAGAATACAGGCATCTGTTGACAGAGGCTTTGTCGACAGATACTGTTGACAAAGAGCATCTAGACTACATCCAGTTCTGTCGACAAAGCAAGCCACTTTGTTGACATGAGAGTGTAGACGCAAAGGACAGTGTAGATGCAATAACACCTTCTGTCAACAGAACTCTGCCAACAAAAGGCGTTATTCTTCGTAGAATGAGGTTTCCCACCATTGACAAAACTGCTGCGTTCTGTCGACGTTACGTTGACCGAACTCGGTGGTAGTGTAGACGCAGGTATAGTTTTGTTGATAGAAGTCCACTTTTGTCAACAAAACCCTGTAGTCTAGACACACCCTAAATCTTGTAGTCTCCAGCTTGCTTTTATACATTAGTCACAGTTCACCAAATGCTGTTTTGTTTTTTTTAAATAACAAGTGCCTCTCCCCATTTCTTTCAGAATTTCCTGATGTAAAAGTATTATCTAGAACCATGGAGGTGCTGCAATGCGATGGCTGCGATTTTCGAGCTCCATCCTACGAAGACCTTAAAGCTCACATTCAAGATGTGCACACTGCTTTTTTGCAGCCAACAGACGTTTCTGAGGAAAGTCCCAGCCAACCAAGGTCTGGCTCCATGAATGCTAGCAACCAGACAGAGGTTGAATTTTCTTCTGTAAAGGATGAATTTACAATTGCAGATGAAATTGCAGGTAAATGTAAACCTTCTTTCTTGTTGCCTGTCCTGGCATACTTTAATTTTTAATTTTCATTAATGTAATGACACTGAAGTCAGTATTGTTTAATTTCAGCCTTATCAGTTCTAATTATGTGACCTCTGAAATGGGTGGATGATTTTTTTATCATCAGGAATTTTAGAAGTGGATTTTCTTGTGAGCTTCTGAAGCTAGTGTGTTTGAGAAACTTTATTCTAGACATTAATACAAATTCCACATTATGTCCCATGTATTAGAAATTTTTTAAGCTACAAAGGAGTATTGTAAATGAGATAGTCTGGTGTATTCCATGTATTGGAACACTGATGTGATTTTTGTTGAATATTGTATCAGACTGGTAGGTCTTGAGGAAGAAATTTCATGTATTAATTTCTTGTTTGCTTTTTTTCCTTTTTAGGGCAAAATGCAGCTCAGATGGGGACTGGAAGTTATTATAGCCATAGCCAGAGTTTTTATAGCCAGCACATGGCCCCAAATCCTAAACCAACGAACAAGTTTTTCCAGTGCAAATTCTGTGTGCGTTACTTCAGATCCAAAAACCTTCTCATAGAACATACCCGAAAGGTGCATGGCACACAAGCTGGAGGGAGCTCGGTGGGGCCGCCGGCCGCTGGATCCTTAAATTACAATATCATGATGCATGAAGGCTTTGGCAAGGTTTTCTCTTGCCAATTCTGCACATACAAATCGCCGAGGCGCGCCAGGATTATTAAGCACCAGAAAATGTATCACAAAAATAACCTGAAGGAGAGTTCAACTCCCCCTGCTGCGGCAGCTGCCATATCGGAGGCTGGCTCTGCGTCCGTGCCGGTGCAGGAATCCTGCAAGGAGCTGCCTGCTGAAGTAGTAGAGCGTAGCATCTTGGAATCCATGGTGAAGCCTTTAACAAAGTCCAGGGGCAACTTTTGCTGTGAATGGTGCAGCTATCAAACCCCTCGAAGGGAACGTTGGTGTGACCACATGATGAAGAAGCATCGCAGCATGGTAAAAATACTGTCAAGCCTCCGACAGCAACAGGATGGAGCTGGTTTGCCTGATGTGCAGAACAAGACTGCGCCAAACCCCGTCCCAAACTCCAACTATATTTCTATGAATGCTACAGGGCGTGAGATGCCAAATGCCAGTGTCTCAAATTTCAGAGGCTCTATGAGTAACTCCCTTATCAGACCCAATTCTTCTACATCCTCAAAATTTTCTTCTGTGTCTTATCCTCAAATGAAGCCTAAGTCACCTCACAACGCTGGCATGGTTAATTTGTCTGACAGATCCCGCTATGGAATGGCTGACATGACAAATTCTTCTGCTGACCTGGAAACGAATAGCATGCTAAACGATTCCAGCTCTGACGAAGAGCTCAATGACATGGACAATGAGAACGGCTTGAACTCCATGGATCACCAGACCTCAGGAATGTCTGCAGAACAGCTGATGGGATCTGATGGCAACAAATTATTGGAAACCAAGGGAATACCCTTTAGAAGATACATGAACAGGTTCCAGTGTCCTTTTTGCCCTTTCCTCACTATGCACCGCCGAAGTATCTCCCGCCATATTGAAAACATCCATCTGTCTGGGAAGACAGCTGTATACAAGTGTGACGAATGTCCTTTCACTTGTAAGAGTTCGTTAAAACTTGGGGCTCATAAACAATGTCATACAGGTACAACATCCGATTGGGACACTGTGAATTCCCAGAGTGAAAGCATAGCCTCCTCTTTGAATGAAAGCACCGTGTCGTATGAAAGTGGAAATATCAATGGCAGGAAGTCGGGGGGAATGTTGGAATCGGTGCAGCAGCAGCAGTCCCCGCAATCCCACTCGCAGCACCCCTATAAATGTACCCTGTGCAACTACTCCACAACTACTTTGAAAGGTCTCCGAGTCCATCAGCAACACAAGCATTCTTTTTGTGATAACTTGCCAAAATACGAGGGACCGACATCCAATGCGCCCCAAGAGAATGAGACGGACACCCACACTGCCTCCAGCACTGTGAAGAAAAGCCAGACCTCAATTCTTGGGTTGTCTTCTAAAAATAACTTTGTAGCTAAGGGCTCTCGAAAACTGACAAACGATTTCCCGCTCGATCTGTCGCCTGTGAAGAAGAGAACTAGAATTGATGAAATAGCGAGCAACCTACAGAGCAAGATTAACCAGAACAAGCAACAAGAAGATGCAGTGATTAATGTAGAGGATGACGAAGAGGAGGAGGAAGACAATGAAGTGGAGATAGAAGTGGAACTGGACAAGGAAGAAGAACAAACGGAGCCGTTAATCGAGGTGTCTAGTTCCTATGCGCCCCAGCAAATGTGGGGGAGAGACACTAATGATTCCCAGAAGGAGGCTAATTTCAGAAACATGCCGCATGATTATAATTCCACCAATGGGGCAGAAATTGAGCTAACTTTATCTGAAGATGAGGAAGATTATTATTGCTCTTCTGTCAACATGAAGGATCACCAAGGGACTAACGCATCTCTTCTGGGAAGCCAGTCGAGCATGTATGGTTCCGATCAAAACAGTGAGAATGCAGAGTTTAACGATTCTGGACGACTTTATTATTGCAAACACTGTGACTTCAGCAACAAATCTGCCAGGAGCGTTAGCACCCACTACCAACGGATGCACCCTTACATTAAGTTCAGCTTTAGGTATATCTTGGACCCTAATGATCACAGTGCTGTGTACAGATGCCTTGAATGTTACATTGACTACACCAACTTTGAAGACCTGCAGCAGCATTATGGTGAGCACCACCCCGAAGCTATGAATGTACTCAACTTTGATCATTCAGATCTCATCTACCGCTGCCGCTTCTGCTCTTACACTAGCCCGAATGTTAGAAGCTTGATGCCACACTACCAAAGAATGCACCCAACTGTTAAAATTAACAATGCCATGATATTTTCGAGCTATGTAGTCGAGCAGCAAGAAGGGTTAAATGCAGAATCGCAAACCCTGAGGGAGATCTTGAATTCGGCTCCTAAGACCTTGGCAACATCCACTCCGGTGGCCCGTGGGGTGGGCGTGCCTGGTACATTTAACAAAAATGCTTCCAAGAGTTTTAGTCCCGAGTGTGAAAATCAAAAAGAGCCTTCAGTAAATAGTGTTGTGGTATATGACTGTGATGTGTGTTCGTTTGCAAGCCCTAACATGCATTCGGTTCTGGTACATTACCAGAAAAAACACCCTGAAGAAAAGGCTTCGTATTTCAGGATTCAGAAGACTATGCGGGTGGTGTCTGTCGACAGGGGTTCTGCACTGGCTCAACTCTCCTTTGAGCTGGGAACTCCCATCTCCCCAAAGCTGCCCAACATGGCATCGCAGCCACCACCTCCCCCGCCGCCGCCACCGGACCTCACCACTGAGCTCTACTACTGCAAGCACTGTTCCTATAGCAACCGCTCGGTGGTGGGAGTGCTTGTCCACTACCAGAAGAGGCACCCAGAAATAAAGGTCACTGCAAAGTACATTAGGCAGACGCCCCCCACCGCAGCAATGATGAGGGGTGGGGAGATGCCTCCTGGCCTTCAAAGGCCACCAGCATCTATGCAGTCGCTGAACAGGGGCGGCTCTGAGAACTCGACGGCTCCCCTCGAAAATGAAATGTTCTTCTGTCAGCACTGCGATTATGGAAATCGGACAGTTAAAGGAGTGCTCATTCACTACCAAAAGAAGCATCGCGACTTCAAAGCCAACGCAGACGTGATCAGACAGCACACGGCCACAATTAGGAGCCTTTGTGATCGTGGCCAGAAAAAATTGTCCAGCAGCACGCCTGCATCATCTTCCAATTCAGAGCGTGACAAGACTAAACTAAGAGCGCTCAAATGCAGGCAGTGTTCCTACACATCACCTTATTTTTACGCACTGAGGAAGCATATTAAGAAGGACCACCCCAGCCTGAAGGCCACAGTTACATCCATTTTACGATGGGCATTTTTGGACGGCTTAATAGAAGCTGGTTATCACTGTGAATGGTGTATTTATTCCCATACAGAGCCTAGCGGTTTACTCGTGCATTACCAAAGGAGACATCCCGAGCATTATGTTGACTATACGTACATGGCCACTAAGCTCTGGGCAGGTCCAGACCCTTCGCCTCCAGCCCTAATGATGCCGTCAGAGGCAAAAACCTATAGATGCCGAGACTGCATTTTTGAAGCATCTTCCATTTGGGACATTACCAATCACTATCAGGCTTTTCATCCTTGGGCCATGAATGGGGATGAATCTGTGTTGCTGGATATCATCAAGGAAAAAGACGCCGCTGAGAAAGTTGGCCCCCTGTCCGATGAAGTCGGGACGAGGGTTAATTCTGAAGACCAGATAACCACGTCACAGATGGAACAGGACATGGAATGTGCAGAGGACTCCAGCCTCCCGCAAGAAAAAAATGCCCATCTAGCCTCCGCAAACCCTGCGATCTCCTCCACGCCGTACCAGTGCACGGTATGCCAGTCCGAATACAATAACTTGCACGGCCTCCTGACGCATTACGGCAAAAAGCACCCTGGCATGAAAGTGAAAGCCGCAGATTTTGCCCAGGACATAGACATTAACCCAGGGGCTGTGTACAAGTGCAGGCATTGCCCATACATTAATACACGCATCCACGGCGTCCTTACACACTACCAGAAAAGGCATCCATCCATAAAGGTCACCGCTGAGGATTTTGTGCATGATGTGGAGCAGTCGAATGACATGGCCCAGAATGACGTGGAAGAGACGAGTAGGATTTTCAAGCAAGGGTATGGTGCTTACAGATGCAAATTATGCCCTTACACCCATGGCACTTTGGAGAAGCTTAAAATTCACTATGAAAAATACCACAACCAACCCGAATTTGATGTGTTTGCGCAGTCGCCGCCCAAGGTGTCTGCGTCGATGGAACTGGAGAGTGCCCCCGACATAAAGGCATCCCCGGAAATTGCTGCTGAGGAGGTCGGAGAAATCTCCCTGCCGGCTTCTCATTTCTCCGCCTCTCATCTCGTGTCCCACACGGTGTTCCGTTGCCAGCTGTGCAAGTATTTCTGCTCCACCCGGAAAGGAATAGCCAGGCACTACCGCATCAAGCACAACAATGTCCGGGCGCAGCCAGAAGGCAAAAACAACCTCTTCAAATGTGCGTTGTGCTCCTACACCAACCCCATCCGCAAAGGGCTTGCGGCACACTACCAGAAACGGCACGACATTGACGCTTATTACACCCATTGCCTGGCGGCCTCCCGGACGGTAAGTGACAAGCCCAGCAAAGTGATCATTCCCTCTCCTCCCAAAGACACCTCTCCACAGCTGAGTGAGGAGCTGAGGAGGGCGGTGGAAAAGAAAAAGTGCTCGCTTTGTTCCTTCCAGTCCTTCAGCAAAAAAGGCATCGTGTCGCACTACATGAAGCGTCACCCGGGCGTTTTCCCTAAGAAGCAGCATGCAAGCAAGCTGGGGGGCTACTTTACAGCAGTGTATGCGGATGAGCATGAGAAGCAGACTCTGGGAGAGGAAAGGAATGAGTTCGAAAAGCCTGAGGTGGAGAATGAGGCTCAAGAAATCGAGTGGCTCCCTTTCCGGTGCATCAAATGTTTCAAACTGTCCTTCAGCACGGCTGAGCTGCTGTGCATGCATTACACAGAGCACCACAGCAGGGATTTGAAGAGAGACTTTACCATTCTGGGATGTGGCACTCGCTCTCAGAGCTCTGGCTATCAGTGCAAGCACTGCGATAGCAAGCTGCAGAGCCTGGCAGAACTGGCCACGCACTTGAGCGGCCACAACGAGGAATTCCAGAAGCGTGCCAAGCGTCAAGAGCGGCGGAAACAGCTTTTGAGCAAGCAGAAATACACAGATGGGGCTTTTGCAGATTTCAAACAAGAGAGGGTAAGAGAGAGAGAGAGAGAGAGTGAGCGTGTGTGCTTTCAACACCAGACCCACCTCCCCAACACCTCAGCTTTTTATTATTATTTGTGTCCGCATGCATGCATATACTCTTTGGCTCCCACACAGCTACAGGGAACCTAATGACTTAGTGTGCCAATGAGCTCTCTCAATCAATTAAACGTTCTAGCTTGATTATATCTCCCCCACACCATGCCATTCTGTATCTCTTTTGAGAGCTTCCTAGGGGTTTTCTATTCCCTCCTCTCCTCCTACGATTAGCCTCCTTATCTGGCACTTAATTACGTGCCTTTCTATTACAAGACTACTGGCCTCTGTCTCGCTTCCAACCCCTCCACCTCTTCCTCCCCCTGGTCATCGTCATTTGTTAGAACACAAATTTCCTTTTCAGGAATAGCTCAATAAGGCACAGTGTCAGCATGATGGGGGTAATATATCTGACAAAGGGCCTCGTTAATACCAATGGGTGTCCTTCCAGTGACTTCAGGGTTTGGGTCAGGCTCTGTCTGAACTTTAGACCAAATTTTATTCTGTTTCACGGGTGTAAATCTGGAATAACTATTTGCCATTGTGAAGGAGTGACTGCCAGTGCATATCAGTCACCCAAGGGCATAATTTGGCCATGTAATTAAAAATGAATAAAACTCTGTCACTAGGTGGAAATTGAGTTCTCGCTATGCAAATGTTTTACCTGCATTTTAAAGGCATTAACGAGAGCTGGCTGAAAACTTGAGATGAGATTTTGCAACACAGCCTAAGGGATTTAAGCACATACGATCCATCTGTGTTAATGGATCTGTACATAAGTCCTTTAGGCTGTTTTGCAAAATCTCTGCCTGTATTCTTAATGTGCTGCCAAGTGTGGGCCTTTTGTTTTCTCTTTGAACAAACAGAAATAGCTTGCCTAATTGTATTGGGTTTTCAAACCTAGGCTCTCCCAGAGTATGTTTGCAATCTCTCTTTTTTTTTTTTATGGCTAAGTTCTGGAAGCAAGTTTCGTGTGTATGTTGATTCTACTCATGTGTTCCAACAGACATTTGGTCAGTTGGAAGATGTATCAAAATTTAAGGAAAGGAAAGTCGTTGGATACAAATGTAAATTTTGTGTGGAAGTTCATCCCACCCTTCGAGCCATCTGTAATCACCTTCGCAAGCACGTTCAGTATGGGAATGTCTCTTCGGTGACAGCTACAGTAAAGGTGAGAATTATAAGAATTGGCTTTGTGTTTATTTGAGATTAAGGTTTGATCAAAAAGCTCACTGGAGCCAGTGGGCAGACTCTCATTAAATTCCATTTGGATTAGGTATTGATTTACTAAGCCCATCACCCAACTTGAATGCTTATTTTTCTGTGTTGTCTTTGCATTTTTTCAATGCTAAATTTTTCAGATGTGCATTACAACTTTCTTCTATCTTTGATTTGGGACAGGTAGATTATTCCCTCTTCCCCTCCCAAGTACATCCCAGTTCTCACGCTTAAAAGAATTTGTCTTGTCTGTGGTGTAAAGTGTAGATGTTTGAGCAGAAAGCTTTTGGAAAACCATTCTTGGGCTACAAGAGGAAACCGGATGTGTGCATGCACAAACATAGATGAAATTGTGTCTTGCACCTATGCGTGCATAGTTACAAATACCTGGTTTGCTTGTGTCATTGTATCTGCAGACAGCTACTCAGGTGGCTAACATGTCATTTAGCTGAGCCAGTGGCCCAACTACAGAGACCCATTGTAAGTGCACTTTATTTTTCGTGTGCAAATGGGTTCTTGCTTCTAGGAAATCTGGTGTGCAAGGGAGAACTAAGGGTACTGCCTCACAAGCAGGTCCTTCAGGATATCCACAGGGGAGCGTGCATGCAAGCCTGCTGCAGAAGCTGTGAATGCATTCCTTTTTCTGTAGCCATAATGTGGGAGTGGGTTGAAGAGCAGAGCTGACCCCACAATTCCCCAGTCCATAACCCTGGCTGCATCCGACTAGGCCATTTAATCCAGAAGGATCTGAACTGCTCCACCTATGAGGGCTTTTAATATTTCGTTGGCCTTCCGTGGCCCTCCCCTTTTGCTTCTGTGGTGCCACAAAAGACATGGTTCCTTTTCACCTACCTGCCTGCCCTTTTCAAACGTTGCTTACAGCACCCGTTGCCGTCTTTTTGAGCAAATGATAGTTTGCTTATGTCGTTGAGCGAGGAAGCTGAAAACCAAGGTCAAATGAGTAGGATGCCGCACTCCCTCTCAATATTAAGCTTCTGAGCACAACAAAATATGTGCCGTGATGAATAAATGCTGAGGGAGGGGAACAAGACACAAGTATCTATTTCTGAAGAGGAGTAGTGTTTTCTTAAAGAGTGCCTGATGTTTCTCTCTCATGAATTTAGTGCTGGTGGAAAGCGTCCGCTCAATGGCTCTTGAAAGGGAAGATCTGGATTAGCCCACAGGGCTGGGACAATGCAGGTTTCCTCCATGCCACCCTCCTATGTGTCTCTCACCTGTTTGGGGGAATTCCAGGGGTCAGATTGTAGTTAGTTCAGTTTCTGCACCAATTCCATGGCTTTTGTGCTGATGCTGGTAATATTACCTAGGGCCAGTTGTGAGCGTTAGAGGGGTTTTTATTTTCCCCTTTAGAATGGATTTGAATCGGTGGGACCTTTTCCTGAAGAAAGCCATTGATGATCCGGGAATGGTGAAGGGCGAGCTTGAGAACACAAAGGTAGTGGGATTCTGAGAAGGGAATCTCAGGGGATAAAGCGAACTCATGGGGAAGACCCAAGGCAGAAGGGAGAGAGAATTGATGGCTTTGGGGGGGTATGTGTCTTTTAGCAGGAAGCGGAAGATTCTTCACACACAACTATGATGGAGGGTTTTGAGGGAGCAAAAGACCATGGCATGGTGGAATTTACAGAAGCTGAATCTGGAGCATCCTTGGAAGATGAAACCAGGCCTGGGGGCTACCACTGCAGCCAGTGTGACCGGGTTTTGATGTCTATGCAGGGTCTACGATCTCATGAAAGAAGTCATTTGGCTCTGGCCATGTTTACCCGTGAAGACAAGTACAGCTGCCAGTATTGCTCCTTTGTCTCTGCTTTCAGGCACAAGTAAGTTTCTGCAATAGAAGTAGACCAGTGACACTGCTTTGAAATGTGCTGACATTAAAGGGGGTCCTGACCACCTTTTCTGTTTAATTGCATCCCGCCTCCCCCTTGTTTCTAGTTTTTAGTGATTCATATTCTTTCCAATGTCCCTGATTCTTTTCATAATTTTTAAATGACCAGTCTCCTTTTCTTTTTATTGTGGGGGAAGGCCACACAAACAAAAGGGGCAAACTTCTTACACAGAGGAGCTAATGAAACTGGCCTTGTATGAAAGGCTGTCAAATTCAGGAAACAAACAGGAAAAGAGGGAAGATGCTCATTAATAAGGAATGTTACCTGAGTGTTAACCTGTAGCAACATTTTTCAGATAACAATGTGAGTGCAGTCTTCTCAGGTTGAGGTAGAGGGATGGAGGCTTCTGAACGCTGAGCAGTTCTCCGGAGCTGAACTCAAAACATCTTGATTTTTTTTTTATTGTGGCATGTAAAGTGTTCTATGACAACATTATGGAGAAGAGCATAGGACTCTTCTCTGAGTGACTTCCACATCATGTTCCAGTTGCACCAAATGAGGGTTAGCAGAAATAAGCAAACATTTTACAAAGCATGTACTAACGCTTCCCTTAGTCCTAGAGAGAGAGGTTGCTTCTTAGAGTGCGTTTACACAGCAGGGCTTAGCTCAAAATAAGCTACGCAAATTGAGCTACGTCAGTTGGGTAGTTTATTTCGAAATAGCTTATTTTGAAATTGGGAACATCTACTTATTTTGAAATAGAGCACTCTTCTGCCAACTTCCCTTACTCCTCGTACAATGAAGGTTACCGGAGTCAGAGTAAGAAGTCCTCCACCTTGACAGGATTTTGACATTATTTCAAAAAAACCTGCCTGCGGTGTAGATGCAGACTAAGTTATTTTGAAATAACACTAGTTATTTTGAAATAACGTTACTGTGTAGACATACCTTTAGTTGGCTTTTTAAACTTAATCTTTGAAGGCCTGCCACAAGGAAATATATTTTGTAGGATGGACAGGCTTGAGAACACATGCATGCTTCATCTGTATTCCAAGGAGACACCTTCTTACCCAACAAAGGAGGGGAGATCCATGCTCAATTCTGTCTGAAACATTTGTAGCATCATCCACTTCATCATAAGTCAGGTTTTGGCTACTTTGCAACCAAATCCATACCAAGAGAGAAAGAGGGATACAAAAAAGTGTGCTAGGCAGGTGGCACTTCCACTAGCACCCTAAGCAATTTCAGGCAGGTAATAACCATACCTTACAGCCTCTGAGGCCAGGTCCACACTAGACCCGAAAGGTTGGGTTAACGTACGCAACTCCAGCTACGTAAAATATGTAGCTGGAATTGGCTTAACTTAAGCCAGGTTTGGCACTATATTCACAGTAGGTGGCCAACAGAACTAATGCTCCTGTCAGAGACGTGAGGAGTGTCGACAGGAGCTGCCCTCAGCATTTGATTTGGCAGGTCTTAACTAGACCCGCTAAATCAAACACCAGAAGATTGATCTCCAGCAAGTGGAGACATGGCCTTTGAGGTAAAAGGACAGGGCATCCCCTAGTTAGGGAGTGTGCGTTGGACACAGGGAGCCTCTTTTGAGTAGAGGCATTCCCATACTGAAATGACAGACGTTGGCAGGATGACACTGGTAGAACACAGACTGTGTCACTTTAAAAGTGTAGTGAGAACCACTGCTCTCCATAGTAAAATAATTCCCCCTCCTCGCCAACACAACTCTAGCACTAAAGTCGCCTCCATTCTTTCCTGGCAAGTGTTGTACTGGTTCTGAGCAAAAAAGGTGCTGGGGTTAAACAGGAAAGGTAAAGAGGAAGTTCTGTATATGTGTGGCTACCCTAGAAATAGGCTGAGTCAGAGATTCTGTGACAATCTACGTCATCTCTTTAACTTGGGTAAAATAGGCAGTTAGGAGAGAGGAAATCCATTAGTACAAGTTTTAAAAAAACTAAAGTAAAACTGGTTAGAAAAGAATTTCAGAGGTGGGGATTTATGGTTTGAGTTTAATAGTATGTTCTCCTGTATGGACTAGTATTATACATCTTTGGATGGGCTGTCTGGTTTAATTGTTCAGCAAATTTGTATCCTTATCAGGTATTTCAGATGGGGTTTAGTTAGATGAAGTATCGACAAAAATGGATGCTCAGTATATTTTATTCATTTAGCAGATTTGTTAATTTCACTCGAATGGCAGTAATGATGTCTTGCCCAGGGCTCGTTATTGAATTTACAGTAAAAGTCATGTGCTATGAAGTGCTCCTGTAAATAAATGTACACTGTACATTTTGTTGCTATCAAGTATTCAGTTGAATGTACTAGGATGTAGCTTTTGCACTGGTGAAGAGGCATTTTCATAGATCAGGCTCTCTTTCTGGTAGTACAGGACGACAAACAGAATGGGGACTCCTGCATTGGGTGTAAAGATGCTGATTAATAAGAATTTGCTGGTTCAAGTGAAACACAAGCAAATTTGAAAATAAAATTGAGGTTAAAGACTACTCTTCCCTCCCTCCCCCATCCCGTTATTCTACTGCCACGCGCCTCTTGCACAGGCAGGCTGAAACTAGAACAAGCGTCAAAAGTGTTAACATGCTATGAAAAGAGACTGTTGCAGGGATGTCTAGTCCAACCTGAAGTTGATGCTTGCTCTCTTGAGGTGTGTAGACTTGGGACGATCAGCTGATTTAGAGAAGCTTCCACACTCTGGGGCTCTTATTCACCGTTATTCTACTGCCACGCGCCTCTTGCACAGGCAGGCTGAAACTAGAACAAGCGTCAAAAGTGTTAACATGCTATGAAAAGAGACTGTTGCAGGGATGTCTAGTCCAACCTGAAGTTGATGCTTGCTCTCTTGAGGTGTGTAGACTTGGGACGATCAGCTGATTTAGAGAAGCTTCCACACTCTGGGGCTCTTATTCAAACATGATGATGAGTGCTTTATTCTTCTAAATCCACTGTAAATATGAATTGAGCTGCTATATGAAGAGTGATACAGGAAGAGTCTGAAATCTGAAGGGTTTCTTACCCCCCTCCCTTTTGCTTTGACATCCCATGAAGACTGTCCTAGTGTAGATGTTCCCTGTTACCCACCCGTTCTTCTTGGGCTCTATGTAGTATCTCCCAAATCTCTAAAACCAGCTTTTTTTTTTTTTAGTCTTGGAATTCCTTGGTTGGCTCCAGCACAGCCTCCTGGCATCCTCCCCAGAACAGACTAATCGGCTTCTATGCTCTTTGCCAAAAGAAGGCTTCCTTAATAGAGCAGGTTTAAAAATTTTAAACCTTGCTGATTGGAGGGGGGAAAACGGGGCAAACTTTTCACAAAGACTCTTGCTAAACCAAAAATGGTTGGTTTATTTTTTTTAACCTGCTCTACTCCATAACACCCCTCCTATTTAAATTCTGGCTAAGACAGATTAACAACAGATTTCCCCCAAATATCCTGTTTAGATGGCTTGCATCCTGCGTAAGATTGGGCTCAGTTCTCCCACCCTTCCTCATGCTAGATACTACCTTGTTTTGCACCTTCCCTCATTGGACTACGGTGCTTCCCAGCATGAAGAAGCGTCACAGAGTCTGGCTCAGTAGATTTTCAGCCTGGCATGCGAAGTAGTAGCTGAAGTTATTTAATTTTTATTTTGTTTCCTTTTTCTGCCTCTCTCTTGCCAAGTTTGGATCGCCATATGCAGACTCACCACGGACACCATAAACCCTTCCGTTGCAAACTCTGCCCCTTCAAGTCCTCCTATAATAGCCGTCTGAAAACTCATATACTCAAAGCTCACGCTGGTAAGTCTGTCAATTTTACAATGCCGCCGCTATAAAAAATGTCTTACTCTCGTTGTTGGTTAGTGCTACGGTTACTAGTTCCACGTTTCACCACCAGTTTGGGGTAGGATTTTTCAAAGCATTGGCCCAACTTTCTGCTCCTATGAAAGTCAGTGGGAACCCTAACATAGAAACCGGGTTAGGCTGACACCCAGTGCTTCAAGTCCTGCCCTTTTGTTTCTAGAGTGTGATTAGTCATTCAGCTTCTAGGAAAGGCGGATGGGGGAGTTTGATTCTCCCCCCTGCTGCTGCTCAGCTGTTTTGATGTATGTTGGTTTTTACCTGATTCCTGAAATGAGCTGGGATTTACACTTGACATGGTCATGGGTTGCTTCAGTGTGCAACCCATGGGTTGCTTGGCTCCGGGCCTTCCACTGGTGTAGACTGGCATGGCTCCATTATCTTACAGTGCCTGATACGCATCCAGGAGTGAAGTATTTTTTACAGACTTTCCCTGATGTCTAGAATACGTACCCTGAACCAGCATGCCTGCAATAGCTGGGAGTTGGGAAATGAGTGATACAGGGGAGGCGCGAAAGAATCCCTGCAAAATATTGCACCTGGAACTGTCTAAAGCAGGGGTCTCAAACTCCCGGCCCGTGGGTCGGTCCCAGCCAGAGGGATTGTGCATTTTGGCCCTGGACTCCCAACGGGGCTGGAGGAAGGCTGTCCATTGCCATCCCTCAACCACCGCCCCTTCCCACCATTGCTCTGTCCACTCCCCATGCAATCTCGTCCCCTGAGCACGTAGCTTTGGTGATCACTTGGGGGTGGAGGCGTGGTACCACGTGGCAGCAGCTGTTGTATCTGTTATCCCAAAAAATATTCTCACTGGAGACCACCCAAGATTACACTAGTATGGGTTTATTTCCATTAGGTAAAACTAAAGAGAAAGCAGCCACCAATGGTTTAAACTAAAGAAGATAGGTATCTCTCTCTCTCTCTCTTTCTCTCTCTCTCTCTCTCTCTCACACTCACCCATTAATTCCTGCCCTCAGACACTCACACACTTACACAGACATATGGGTTGCAGAAGGAGCCAAGGCATGTGGATCCTGGAGGGTCTGTCTGCTCATCATGGCTGGGGAAGCTGGTCCGGAGGAAAGACACTGAAGAGGAGCAGGGAAAGGAAAAGGAGAGTCTCACATGCGCTCCTTCTCTTTATATAGTGTCTGAATGGCTCCTGTGACTCATTCACCTCGTCATCAGGGAGCATGCCCAGACTTCCTTTTATCCAGCAGGGAGCATGCCCAGACTGTGATGACTCATTGAAATGTGCTCCATTGTTCCCAGTCTTCTTCAAACACACTCTCACACTCTCTCCATTCACCCAGGGGAGAATGCAGCTTAGGAGAAGTTGCATCTTACAGTAAGTTTCTGAGTTACACAGATTACAAAGTTTGACAAAGAGCACAATGAGTTGCAGTTTAAAACCTTAGACCTTACAGTTTGGTGTCGTTTCAGAAAATCCATGTACATAAATCAAGTAAGCTCAGGCGGAGGCTTTTTTATGCAATAGTATCCCCCTCGTACTTTCCACAGTAGCAGGAGCCACAGGGGAAGTGGAGCAAGTGCACCCTTTTAGTGCCCTCTGCTTGCCCCATGGCTCCTGCCATCACAGGGAGTGGGGGAGGGAGACGCGGCTACATGCTCAAGGGATGGGTGCCATGGTGTGAGAGGGCGGGACAGTGGCAGGAAGGAGTGGGGCTTGAGGCTGGTAACAGACAGTCCTGTCTTCCCCCAGTCTGCCGGGAGTCTCAATCCGGATTGCACACTCACGCTGGCTGGGACTGGCTCAAGTGTCCAGAGTATGAGACCCCTGGTCTAAAGGTATGAGACACCAGATCATTCAGAGACTGACCTTGCTGTCCTGGGCCCAGCCACATGACATGTTTCTACATTTAAAAAGGTTATCCCAGGACTGGGGTCAATATCTAGTTACTCCTTTAGCTACCGTTACGGCTTCCCTTTAAAAACAAACCAAAAAACCAAAACCAAAGCAAGTCAAATGCAGGCGAGTAGACTGTGAACCAAAACTAACCTCCACCCAGTAATCTCGCCAGTTACTAAACCCCCCAAAATAGACATCTTAGATGGAGGGCAGGGTGTTAGACATCTGTCAGCAACTATATCTCTAAATCTCACATGGTCATATCTTGTTCTCATGGGTGTGCCTTCCACCTGTTCTGCAGAGGCGCAATTAAAACAATAAAATTGGTTGTAGTTCACTTAGAAGAAGTTAGATCTTTCCCGTGAAACACCTGTAGATCAAAAGTAACCTTGGACGAAGGGCAGTTAGGACACGCCTATAGTTTTGCTGCTGCTCTGCATTCTGTTTCCTTTATTGATTGCAGATTTCACACTTGGTACCTTATCTTCACTGACAGCAATCACGCCAGGCCTTGTTCTTACACCTCTCAATATATGGCTGGTCCGCGTGAATTAGTTTTAACATTTCTGACCTCGTGCTGTGTGGTATTATGAGATGGTGTCCTTGGTATAGAATCCCATTTTATGCAGCTATAGTCCCAATACATTTTCGTGTATTGTAGGTAGCTGGGTGCTTTGTGTTGGTTGTGCATTTAAAATTAATCTCTCAAGCTGTTATACCGTTTGGTTGTTTTGTATGGCTGGGCTATTTTTTTATTTTCTGTTTGAATGTCTCACAATTTTGTTTCAAAGCTAGTAAGTGAGCCATAGCATTTCAAACTCCTCTTTCAATAAGGTCTTGATTTTGCTATATATAAGTGCTTCTGAAAGCATGTCTGTTCTGAGAAACTCCTTACAGGGCCTGCGTATCCTATTATGCAAGTATTTTTGGAATTTCGCGGTCAACTTTCTGGAGTGTAGGTGTCGCCTTGCACAATGGCTTGTGTAATAGGATTTCCAAAATTTTGGTCTGTTTCTGCCTCAACCAGCGTCTATCAAATAGATATATTCATGAAACTGAAGAATTGCTAGCAATTTTTTTCAGTCTGTGGTTTGTTGTGTTGTAGTTAGTTCTCTGGATATGTTGTCCACTGAGTAATGACTTTCCAGGAAGGCTACTCGCAACCCCTGTGAGTTTGAATCAGTCAAGATCTTAGGCTCTTTCTAATCTCAGAAGAGTCCAGTTTTAACACTTCCATGAAAACTTTAAAGAAATTCCCAAAAGCTTTTTCTTTTCCTGATCATACCAGTGTTAGTCTGTACAAATTCAGAGATGAATTTGCTTAGATACGTTAGCCTGCTCCTTATTCTTGGGTCTTTCCATTTGTACAGTCGCCTTCATCTTTCTGGTTCTGATCAAACTCCATTTGTCACGGAATATGTACTTTACATTCACTCTTATCTGGCATTTGTTACTGTTCAATGTAATGTTCTTTCTTTGGCATGTTGCAGAATATTATGTGGTGCCTCTCGTGTTATTGTCTTCACTCCAGGTCAGTGGATCGTAAGCCCTTACATCCACCCCATTGTCATGCTAAATAATCGGAGTCATGAAGCTTTGGTACATCTCAGGATCTGATACAGTCCCAAAGGGATATCATTTAAACATACAGATATATATTCAGGGCTCGACAAACTATACAATCTACTCACCCATGGCGAGTAGATTTCAGCCACACGCCCGTTCATTCACGGCATGCACATGCGCAATGCAAATCTTGCGCATGCGCAGTACGGGGCTGGCGAGTGGTTTTCGCTGCCGTTTGTCAAGCCCTGTGTGTGTGTGTGTATGTATGTATATATGGGGAGTTGAAGATAGATCTTTGCAGTTTTTCTATTGTCAGACCTTCTGAAAGTCTTTGAAAGTTTTGAAGTCCTAGTTACAACCACCTCAGTTGTTCTCATGGAATATGTGAGATAACCTCTTTCACATCTTCGTGATCCATAACATTACTTAACTTCTTACTCTGAGTGGTCTGCCCTTTTCCATGGGCTTGCCAGGTGGTTGTATTTTGTATCTTAATGCTAAAGACACTTAATAGTTGTTGGTTTTAATTTTAGCACTTACTTTTTTGTGTATGCTTGCTATGATTATGTTGCACTGGGCTCTAATGTATATTTTCACATTTTCTATTTGTTTGTTTCCATTGTCGCAAACCCAATTTGGTCCAGAATCTTTACTAAGATTTCTCCTCCTCCCCCCACTCCCAAAGAACTGTTTCTGCATCTTTGTTATCAAAGTTTTGTCTTCCAGTTAATGTTCATACATATTTTACACGTGTTTTTGTTTTGCTTTTTGTGGTTTGGGTGTAGCCCATGCTTATTCAGTATGGTGCTTTGTTCTCTCTTCCAGATAAGAGCGCTACGTGCATGCATAACACCACAACCCTTGTGTTGGACAACTTTTGCTTTGCGTTCCAATTGCCTCCGCTCTTACTGCAAACAAATCTGGTCTCTGCAATTTGTTTATCCTTGGAGTCTCTCTCTATGGCTTGGAATGCACTTAGAATTGCAGGCACTTCTGTTCATTCGCTTCTGTTCTTTCCCTTCTTAAGGCTTTCCATAACGCAGTTTTCACTAGCCTTACAGATATCCCCTTTTCCTAGCATTTTCATGTCCATTTCTTGCAATAATCTTGCCTTGATCTGGTTATCACTTGCAGCACAAATAATTCACGCGACTTAGCTTTGTTACACGGTGACCAATGATCTTGCCTGGCAGCTGGTTTCATGTAAAGAAAATGTACCTTTTTCAAATTGCCTGGATCATCGTATTCATGAAGATTTTGGCTTGCATCTTGAAATGCCCTTCTGTTGTGCTTCTGGCCCTGCCACATGTAATAGTATGGAGGATTTTACCCTCTCCAGTTACTGTGAAAGGCCTCTTGCTTCCAAGAACATTTGGAAGTCGCATACCCTTGCTTCCAGCTCTCTTTCAGCATGAGAGATTCATTTCGCCAAAGATTGTTTTCTTCCAACACCATGCAACAAGGTTGTCCTGCACGGGAGTGCGGATAGGAAACTGGTCTTTATTGGCTAGCCTCAGTCATGTGACAAGGGGCCAGGGTTACCAAAAGGCAATATCTTTGTCATATGGCAGGTGTCACTATCCGTAGCCTCCAGTACCGACTGTTCCAACAGGAAAACTCAATAGCTGGTTTTCTTTGGAACCAGTCTTGCACCAGAGGAGTCAATGGGAGTTTTGCCATTGAATTCAGTAGGAGAAGGATGGGGCCCCATTGTTTCTTTTGTGAGCTGATGACTTGCCTGTATTTCGCTCACCCAGGTGAACATGCCTACAAATGCTCCTCCTGCTCATTTTCCACCATGACAATCAGCCAGCTGAAAGAGCACTCCTTGAAAGTGCACGGGAAAGCACTGACACTACCAAGACCCCGCATTGTCAGCCTTGTAGCCTCATTCGCCCAACACGCCTCCAAGAACCACACTCCAGCTGACGAAGTGGAGGACTCTAATGGTAAGAGGTGCCTCAGAGCAAGAACCTAACTGTCTAAAGTGCTGTGCGTGCGCGCATGCACACCAATATATATTAAGGCAACGGTCTGTCCCAGAAGGGGTTTCTTTGGTCGTTTTGTAAAGGCAAATCTGAAGTTGCTTCTAAAATGAGAATAAATTGGATGGAAGCTTTAGTATATGGTTTGTGGAAGGATCTCGCAAGATTCATGCTCCTCTAACTTGTCCAGCCATAACTGGTACATCAGGGTGTCTTCACGTCTTAGAAACGTCTTACGAGGGAGATGTTTAAAGACATATTTAGAGTCTCAACTCCCACTGAGAATCGGTGGGAACAGGATATCTCAGTCCCTTTCTGTGCCTTCCAAAAGCTCCTCCTAAAATCAGAGGGCTTTAGTGAGGTCCTACAACTAAGACTTAATCACCTTTATTCACATTTATGGGGTAAATATATTTCCCCCCCTCTTGCTGCGAAGCCCAAATGATTGGCTATACCAGGATGGAGGGTGAAGATGGTGAGTGAAGCCAAAAGGGGCATTGTTTTCCCATCCTCCCTCCCTTCCTCAAGGCCACTACAAGAGCAGTGTGCTGCTCCGGGGTCTGGAAATGTAGGTGAGTTGTGGTTGAATAGAGCAGGTGCAGAACTGGAGTATGGATGCTATAGATAACATGGATCCTAGCTAGCTTACAGGGAGCTAGTGCAGCCACAAGGTCAAACTCCATATCCCAGGCCAGCAAGGGTGTTGGCATGTAGGCAAGAAGCTATTCTGGTTCCTGGGTGAGCCATATGGACAAGGAAAAGGGATGCACAAGGAACTGGGCAGAAGTTCCAGCTCACTGTAGATCTTCCAAGGTTGTCTGGGATTTCCTCCAACCTGATTTTCCAAGGAAAAATTAGAAAGAGGGAAATATTTTTCCACCTGTCCCACAGAATGTTCAATTGGTGGTTATTGTTGAAACCAAGTTTTATTTCTAATCACTTAGTGTGTTTTTTTTAAATGGGAGGAAGACTGAAAGAGGACTAAGCACAAAATGACTAAAATAGACACTAAATATTTCAAAGAAAATATTTACAGATGTGAACACCACAGAAATGTTCCCCAAAGGCTTTTTCCCCTTTGAAACCTTCTTTTTAATGAGACAGTTTTGACCAGCCCTATTTGGAGTCCTTCCTTTCATGGGGATGGTGTTTGGAACTGGGTAGTAAATACTTACTGACTGATCTACTTTAGTACCATGTTTGCTCCTATTAAGCTAGTCACACTAAGATATATCTGGCATGCATTATATTGCTTTTAAAAATAGTTCTCTGACTCTTCCCATTTCGAATTTCAGTTATCAATGGATCTACCAATCCGTTAGCCAGGTTCTACTCACAATAACGATATCGAGATATGTAGAGTCAGTATTATGGGCATGGGACGGATGATGCATTTGCTTTCTGTTGCTCACACTCAGAGCTCGAAGTCGTGATTACATGAGCCAGGCATGACTGGCAATTATCCTGTGGAGCCTCTTTTCAATATCGTAGCCTTTTTATTTTTAAAAAGGTGTATGTCTTATTTAAAGGGTTCTGGTTAAAAAAGTTTTAGGTGCACTGAAAAATGCCCATTATCATAGGAGGTGTTTGTTAACCAATCCAGATTTGTATTGTGACCAGAGGGAGTTTGTCCCAAAGTAGTTTAGTCGTCTTCAAATTAGACTAATAGTTTTAAATAATTTTGAAAATAATAAACACCACCTGCAGCTATTTAGAAGACCACAGATGAAGTAATAAGCATAAATGAAGACTCTCAGTATTGCTTGAAGAAGGAATGACACACTTTGAATAATCGTCTTGGTGATGAGGAGTTGGTGACGGACCAAATCAATGATCACTGTGCGTTTGATATGATTCGTTTTGGATTTTTAGAAGGGGCTGAATAGAGCTCCATGTAACTTAGGCCTGTAAGCTGCAGGTGATCCCTGGAATAGACAAAAAATTGGTCAGACTAATGGAAAGCAGGTTGCACATGTGAGAGGCACTATTATTCCCACTGGGGGAAGTATTATGCAGAGTTCACACAATACACAGTTGTTGGACCTCTGCTGTTCTAACATATATAAATAACCTTCACCCGGGCTGGCTGTCATCTAGTTAATTTGCTGATGACACAAAATTGGATCAGGGTGAGTGGCAAACATGGAGACTGTATCAACTAAACTGGGACTTGTTTCATGAGCCAGTAGCTATTTGGCAACAAAGTGCAATTGAAAGCTTAGAAGTCAGGCCCAGTTACTATGCACATGCATTGAAGTGAGTGGAGCAGAACCAGAACAGGATGGCTTGCAAGAGATATGGGAGTGGAAAACGTGGAACCTGTAAGAATAAATGAAAAGGGGCGTGAGGAGCAAATGCACATTTGAGGCAACGTTGCTGGAATAAAACGATTCGGTGACAAGTGCCCAGTAGAAGTTTTGCCACCAGACCAGGCAGAATTTGTTTCCCAAGATGCCACCTTTAAAGCTCCAAAGGTGCTGGTCCATACATTACAAAGCATGACGGAATTTACATTTACATGACTTGTGTGTTTTAGCTTTGTTTTGGGAGCAATGAGCACAGTTTATGGGTTATGGTGTATGCTCAGGAGATGGGGAGTTTAGAATGAGAATAGACTTCTAGGTCACGTTTGGAGGTCCGGTCCTTGTTGGCTATATTGTCAGTAAAAAGAAGAAACATTCTGGCACTGGTAAAAATGCCCCAGGTAGGGTTGCCAGCTCTCCAGGACTGGCCTGGCATTTCTCAGAATTGGCATCAATCTCCTGGTGACTATGGAAAGCAATCCTGGAGATTTTAATAGGGTATTTTTCAAAAAATGACAATGTAACACCGGCAGGAAAAAATCTGGAATAAGCTTCAGTCAGCATTAGCAACCCTAGGTCCAGGTCAGCCGTGAACAGTTGTTTGGAGGTCTGTGGTGAAATGAATTGGTGGACTCTTGTCAGTCAGACTAAAATCTGAACAGGTATAGAGTCTGGCCTGTCTTATCAGTTCTTGATGGTGAGGGCCCTGCAGGTCAGCATAGAGCCTTCTTATTGAGACAACATAGGAAACTGATCTATGCCTGGTTTGTGGAAAGGGGACATCTACATGTGCACCATATTTCTGGTATAGAAGGTGGCTGTTGTCATGGTATCAGGTGCTCCCGAGATGGGAACCGATATAGTCCGTAAGCATCGAATTCTTTTCCCCCCAAGCTATTTATTTATTCAGAAGTTCTTACAGGTTTACAGATCTTTGCCATATAAATAGCAGAGACGAAACGATTATCATTACAGACGTAAGAACATAAGAATGGCCGTACTGGGTCAGACCAAAGGTCTGTCTAGCCCGGTAGCCTGTCTGCCGCCAGTGGCCAGCACCAGGTGCCCCAGAGAGGATGGACTGAAGACATGGAATATTTGTTTAGAAAAACAGTGTACAGCAGCGTGATCATCAGAATTCTCTGCTTAATGGGGCTTTACCTTGTTAGGAAGGATTTCCACTCCTCCCTAGTGTCAGTGATTTTATTAAATTGTGAATATGCACGTCGACCAAACTAGGCATGTTTGACTCATGCTCATATTTTTAAAAATGGACAGGAGCCACCACATTCATTAGAAAAACAAATATGAATAGCCTGTGTAAATATTGTACATTAGAGTCCAGTCTTGTGTATAGTATAATCACACATAGTAAGTTGTTCTAAACAATAATAATCCAGATAAAAGGCCAAATTCACTGCTGTAACTCGCTTGAGCTTCGGTGGAGCTACGCCTTTTCTTTCTGATGGTTTTGAATGAGAGAGTCTGGTTTTGTGTGGCCTTTAGGAACGGATAGCAATTGGCATGCTTGTGAAATTATGACATCACAAGAATAAAGAAGGCTCAAAAGTATGAAGCGTTTGAGAGTTTGGGTTTTTTGGTTTTGTGTTTTGTCTGACCATTCAAAACTCCATTTGGACAGGTTTCTTCAGACCTCTATTTCACTTTGAAGTCTAAAGGCTTGTCTATATTTAGCAGAGGATCGACGTGCCAATGATGGATCTACCAGGGTTCGATTTAGCAGGTCTAGTAAAGACCTGCTAAATCAAATGCTGAGGGCATCTCCATCAACTGCAGTAGTCCTTGTTGTCATGAGGAGTAAGGGAAGTCAACAGGAGAGTTTCTCCCATCAGCCTCTTGCTGTGGGGCCACCCCAGAAAATCAATGTAAGGTATGTCACCTCCAGTGACACAAATGTCGTAGCTGAAATTGCAGATCTTACATGGATTTTCCTCTGCCAGTGTAGAGCTGGTCTATGGACTAATTTGAAGAAAGGATCTCTTTGGTTCTGTCTCCGGTAAGACAACCCACACTTTGGGTATTACATGAGCACAAATATGTAACAGAGACACACCACTCTGGTGCAAAGCGGGGCTTTACAGCTGTGCAGTTTAATCCAGTAATATACAGAAATAAGTTATGCTGTGATGCTCATAAAAGTGCACATTTCCTTACTATAGGCAGGGCCTGAGTTATAGATTAATTGCCCCTTCTTTTCGGGTGAGAGGCCACATTGCACATGCTCTGAGGTCCTCCAGCAAAACCAGGTAAAACCACATTGGACTCTCCAGGTAGAGGCTATGCCACGCCCTACTCCGTCTCTTTTAAAGGTGGGAGGAGGCATAAATCCTTCAATGTGCCAGCAAATAGTTACACCAGGCTAGGGATTAAGTGTTTGCAGGACTGAGCTCTTAAATCCTAGATGCCTTCATCCTCCCCAAGGGAAGCTTCTGAAACCCGTAAACATGGAATTTAATCTTGAGGCGATCCAGTTAAAAGCTGGAATGTCTTCCATGCAGGTTCCAGTTCTAAACAAACACATTTAGACCCTGGAAGCACTGCTATTTCATTTTTTAAAAAGGATAGAGATGGAGAAGTACATGTCAATCCGATAACATTTAAAGCACATAAAAAAAATACACAACACCTTAATGAATGGGT